ACCTACATACATACATAATCACATTACATACATATCATTTACATACCCATCACATACATAACATACATCATCTATCCCTACATACATATATATTACTACCTCTTATTATCTATATCCATATATCCTATATAGTCTCATATCTTCTACTATCTACCTTATCTATTTCATCCTGCTACTATTCTTCTACACATCACTCTCTCACATACTACACTATTATCATTCTCACCTATATTCTCTCTCCCCACTCACTACTTATACATATAACACTCATACTCGACTATATTTGACTCCATATCAATACCGTACCTATCCTTCACTACGGCTATCTACCACCAACAACCTGTTACGTGATATCCACCTACTAACACGCCTCATTGCTAGATTTACGAGAGGAGCCCCCGCTGAGTAGCTCCTGATATACTGTATACTCAGTCACATGAGTCACGGAACCTACCGACACTGAAGATAAGCTAATACTCATATAATAGAGCGCGAAGAGAGTTGATACGTGTACGTATGTTACACTCCGACGGGCCCGAGGGAAAGGTGCCGAGGAATGTTCCGCGGAGTAGGAAAGGGAGAAACTGTCACGGCTCCTATGCACTAACACTTATATCATCTTACTATATCTTACCTCCTCCTCCTCTCTTGGTTATGTATTCTTCCTTCTCCCCTTCTCTTCCTTACATATCTATACTTTCGTTCTTTCTACTTCTTTTCGTACTATCATCATATCTTTATTTACTTATTCTCATACTTCTTTATACTACTTCCAGCTATCACTCTTCTCCTCTCTGCTCACTCATCGTTATCTCACAGTACTACTTACTACCCATATACATATACATATACACATATCACATACTACACTATCACATATTACAATATCACCATACTACATAATACATATACATATACATATACATTACTATTCCACATACCCTTTTGTGTAAATATATTATATATTATTTTATATATACATCATTATACTATAATATATAACTATACATGCATATATAATATACATATACATATACATATATACATATACATATACATATACATATACATATACATTATACATATACATATACATTATACATATACATATACATATACATATATCATATACATATCACATATACCATATATATATACATATACATATATACAATATACATATATACACTATATATATACATATATATTACATACTATTATTATATATACATATATATACATATATATACATATATATACATATATATACATATATATAATACATATATATTACATATATACATATATATATACATTATATATATACACACAATATACATATATATATACATATCACATACTATATATTTACTCTTATATATATACATATATATAACATTTATATATCATTATATATATTTACATATAACATATATATCATTTATATATATATATATATACATTTTATATACTATATATACCTATATATATTCATATTATAATATATTATTATATATATATATATATATATAATATATATATATATATATATGATTGTACATTATATATATGCCATATTTTATATATATATATATATATATATATATATATATACATATATATACATATATATATATATATATATATATATATATATATATATATATATTTTTATTTATTTATTTTATTGATTATATTTTTATACACACACAAACAGCAGTCACAGACACACAACACAAACAACGACACAACCACACACACACACACACACACACACACACACACACACACACACACACACACACAACACACACACACACACACACACACACACACACACACACACACACACACACACACACACACACACACACACACACACACACACACACACACACACACACACACACACACACACACACACACACACACATATTTACATATATAGACACTAACATGTGATATATACTATACATATATACATGTATGTATAGACATATGTTATATACACATCACCCAGTAGCATGTACGTTAGTTCCAGTGGTACTGTAATCCCGAGATTATTATATTTGCGAGAGGGAGGGTTATCGGGCATTAATCCGGTACTGAAGAAATATATACCTGGTATGAATATTTTTGGATCTAGAGGGAAAAGTAGTCAAATTCCAAATTTCTTCCGGAGTAAAGTGGCGGCGAACTTACTCCGGAATAAGTGCAGGAGGACGATTTCCCCTTTCTTTTCTCTCCCTTCTCTCCTTCTTTTTTCTCTCTCCTTTTACTTCTTCGTCTTCTTCTTCCTCTTCTTCTCCTCATTTTTCCTTTCCCCCTCCTTCTTCTTGCTTTTTTCTCTTCTTTTCTCTCCTCCTCCTCCTCCTCCTCCTCCTCCTCCTCCTCCTCCTCCTCCTCCTCCTCCTCCTCCTCCCCCTCCTCCCCCCCTCCCTCCTCCCTCCTCCTCCCCCTCCTCCTCCCCCTCCCTCCTCCTCCTCCTCCTCCTCCTCTCCTCCCTCCTCCTCCCTCCCTCCTCCTCCTCCTCCTCCCCCCTCTTCCTCCTCCTCCTCCCCTCTTCCTCCTCCTCCCCCTCTTCCTCCTCCTCCCCTCTTCCTCCTCCTCCCCTCCTCCTCCTCCTCCTCCTCCTCCTCCTCCATTTTTTCTTCTCTTCCTTTTCCTCATCTTCCTTTTCCTTTTCCCCTTCCCCCACGTCTTCCTCTTTGCTCAGAAATTCAAGTAGACATTAAGATAATTTCTTGGAGATGAATATCACAATGAAACTCCCTTGGCGCGTTTCTTTTCCATCATTGCATTATCCTGTGAGAAGAAAAGTTCCGCTTTCGTTCATAAGGTTTGCGTCGCTGTGAACTTCCACTGCTACTACGAAAACTACGGTGTTAATGGCACTCCGGATTTCGTGATGTAGTACCGGTGTGTCTGAAGGTATTTCATTCGAGAGAGAATATATATATAACATCTACAGTTGTATACACACATTTATAGACACGTACACGTTTTATTTCGTTCCGTTTTGTCTGTTTTTTGTGTTTGATTTTTGTTTATACAACCGGTAAGTATGACAGTGGTCTGTTTATTCCTCTCCGCCCAGCACAGTTATTCTTATTCTGTCTGGCCGGCTGGAAACTCGTCAACTGATGCATCATGCAGTAGGTTAGCCAGGAAAAATATAGATCATGACATGACAGGGAGTTCCATGTTTTAGTTCTTAAGAAAACTGCTTCACTGTAGCTGCTGCCAAGGTTGAAGTTATTGCATCCGGGACCTGCTACATCCCGTCCAGATTGGAAGGACGCCAGCGTATAGATTTTGACATTCTCTGTGCACGAGACATGAGATACACACATTCATGATTGCATGACTACATAACGTACAATGATATAATCACACTTTTATAGATTATAAAGATTCTCCATTAGATTTACATTTAGCAGGAACGACCAGTATAGCTTTGAAGCATAAATTTGAGCGCATTAAGCTACCCGCCAGCCAGCCACACGCTACTTGGACCATAGAGTGAACTGGGAATTTGGTGGAGAGGTGCTCAAGGAACCAAATATTCCTGTTTCCCACTTCTCTCTTTCTCTTTCTCTTTCTCTTACTCTTACTCTTACTTTCTCTTTCTTTACTCTTACTCTACTCCTACGCTTACTTTCTCTCTCTCTCTCTCTCTCTCTCTCTCTCTCTCTCTCTCTCTCTCTCTCTCTCTCTCTCTCTCTCTCTCTCTCTCTCTCTCTCTCTCTCTCTCTCTCTCTCTCTCTCTCTCTCATCTATCTATCTATCTATCTATCTATCTATCTCTATCGCTCTTTCTCTCTCTCCCCAAACCAGCCCACCCTAACCCCCCTAGGGTATAGACCCCATGCCCTTTCTCCGTGGGTCGACCTGCCCTTCTAGTGCCCAGTGACTTTGCCCTTCCTTAGAAGTCTAACCCAAGAGCTTTTTCTAGATCGACGGTTTGGCAATATTTTGCTCCCTTAACATCTGCCACTGAATTCCTACACTCGTGAGCGGATGAAGGTATGGACGGATGGGTGGATGGATGGGTTGGTAGGTGGATGAGTGGGTCGGTGGTGGGTGGTGGTGGGGATAGATGGGTGGGTGGATGGATGGATGGGTTGATAGGTGGATGAGTGGGCCGGTGGGCGGGTGGGTGGGTGGATAGATGGGTGGGTGGATGGGATGGATGGTGGGTGGAGATGGGTAGGTGGATGGATGGGTTGATAGGTGGATGAGTGGGCCGGTGGGTGGGTGGGTGGATGGATGGATGGGTGGGTAGATGATGGATGGGTTGATAGGTGGATGAGTGGGCCGGTGGGTGGGTGGGTGGGTGGGTGGATAGATGGGTAGGTGGATGGATGGGTGGTGGATGGATGAGAGGGTATATGAATGGATGGATGGATGAGACGATGAGTGGATAGATGGATGGAGTAAAAGATGAGTGAATGGATGGATGAGACGATGAGTGGATAGATGGATGGAGTAGAAGATGAGTGGATGGATGGATGAGAGGATGAGTGGATGGATGGATGGATGGGAGGGTAAATGGATGGATAGATGAATGGGAGGGTATATGAGTGGATGGATGGATGAGAGGATGAGTGGATGGATGGATGGATGGGAGGGTAAATGGATGGATGGATGAATGGGAGGTTATATGAGTGGATGGATGAGTGGATGGATGGATGGATAGACTGACTGATGGTTGGGTGCGTGAATGGGTGCTTGCATGACGGATGAACGCTTGCATTTATACATGTTACTTGGAAAGGAATACAAGTCGAATAGTTAATAATCACATGGACGCTTTATGTCTGTCTGTGTCTGGGCATGTGTGTGTCTGCGTCTGTGTGTGTATGTGTATGTATCTGTCTGTATGTGTGTACGTGCCAGCGAGAGAGCATACGCGTGCATGGCCGTGGAGCGCGAGCGAGCGACGCCGAGTGCATGGCCGCATGCGTTCGTGGTGTGCGGGGACTGACAGGTTGTAATCCCCCGTGCAGCGAAGGGCGCGGCGTGCCCCGCATGGGCGGCAGGGAGGCGGAGGGCGGCCCGCCTCCCTCCACACCACGCCGCAACACACCACTTCCTCTACTAACACCGTCCCGCCCCACCACCACCACCACCACCACCATCACCACCACCACCTCCACCAGCAGCAGCAGACGGCGGCGGCGGCGGCGGCAGCGGCTGCGGCGGCGGCCCAGGAGGGCGTGGAGGTTCGGGGGCTGCAGGGCGTGAGCGCGGGGGAGCTGCTTGGTAAGACTCACGAGGAGCTGGTGCTGCTCCTGATCCAGCTGCGGCGCCACCACTCGGCGCTCCAGGCGGCCCGCCACCACGCCCGCCTCGAGAGAGACTCGCAGGTACGCCACGCCGCCCGCGCACCACCCAAACAGAGTGTCTAGGCATCCTGATTGTATACGAGTCAGTGGATTTTTTTTAATCATAGGGATTTTTTCTTAATTTAACGCCGCATATAACCCGACTAATGCGACGCCTCGGGCACTGCTAACAGCCTGCCATCTCGGGGGCGCCTGTCCCTCTAACACCTCGGCGACGCACACTTCGTCAGGGGGCTCTTCGGAGCCGCTCCTGTGGGCCGGAAGTTTATTAGGTTTATATAGAAGTCTATCCTGGATCGGAGTTTGTTTTATTATCATTATAGATTTATTTTTTCATGTTACGTAGGTTTTTACAATTGTTTTCCCCCAGTGTGCCATCGAATTTAATTCGAATTTCTTTTTATGTAGATTTTTTTTTTAATTCCCGTTTTTTCATTATTATTATTATTTTTTAATGATTATGGCTTTATATGCTAACAACACACGCTTTCTTTGCTGCTTTGTCTTTAGTAAGAAATGTAGTTGCCTGGTTTTGTCTGGTATTATGCATGTCTTTTTCTTTCTTTCTTTAGTTTTTTTCTTTTGCATGATTTGGGCTTTCGTTGCATGTTGCTGCTTTTGATGCCATTACTGTTTATTTAGTTAAAATTACACCATAGGTAAACATGGTTACATTATTACATTCACCTACATTTTTTTCAATTATAGTTAACTCTTATGTTTGCTGTTATTGTTATTATTACTACTATTATTATTATGTATTTATATTTTGCTGGAATTGAGCATTATTCTTCCTCCTATTTTAATGTATATATGAATGTAAACGAGATATCGATCATGCATTTTCAGCATTGGTTTCAAATGGCCTTTTGACTAGAGAGAGAAAAAATATAACTTTTTGCAATATAATTGATTTTTTTATGCATGTTGTGTTTTTTGTGTGTGAAATGAGTGACGGCTGTTTATTTTTTTTATTCTTCCTTTTTGGTTTGCCATTTTATAAGGTCCTTTTATGTGTATATATGTTACTAAACTGATCCCTGGCTATGAAAAAAATATCTTATATATATCTAGGACTATTTTGTTCATGTGTTTCAAATAGTAAGGGGATTTGTTCATCGGTTATATTCCTTAGGTAAAATAGACTTCCATGTATTTATGTAATTGTATTGATGAATATCATAGAATGCCAGCATGTGATACCAAAGTGTATATATAAAATCGGGAACCCATTCCTGAAGGTATTTAGTCAGGAGTTACCAGCTGATACAAACTGGTCAAGTATGCAGGGTCTTTCTTGAACCTATTTACCCAAAATGTAGTTTTCCCCCAGCACCATCCCTTACCACTTCGGGGAGAGGGAGGGGAGGGGGCAGGGAGGCAGGGGAGGGTGAAATGATAAGGATTTTCTTTGTTGGAATGAGGCACATGTAGTAATGTAGTGTGTGCACCCAGGCCCGCCTTGCGCACCTGGACGGGGAACACCGGGAGGACCACCTGCGCCGCCTGGCTGCCCTTAACCACCACCTGCACGATCTTGATAAGCAGGTAGTACATCCTTAGAGTGTCATCGCCCGTTTCCTTCTCTGTCGATTTTACACACATGCAGTTGCGTTCACATCCTTTTAAATTTCCCATCACAAGTATTACTTCTCGTGCTCATCTGTTGCCTGTGTGTGGTTTTCTTCAAATAGGTAGTGTAGTGATAGCCTGTAAGTACTGTACCTCGTACTATCATGTTACTTCGGTTTTGAAAACTGGTTGTGACTTTAGAGCTGTATCTTGCGTATGTTTTTTCACACTGTCTAAACAGTCCGGTATTTGAGTCTTAATAAATTGTAGTCTATTTAATCTTCATCAAGTAGTGGTTTATAAGTAATTTGTTTTTGAGACGATCATTTAAATTTTTAGCAATGCTAGATCTAATTTTGTCACCATTAAGGGTGCTAGTTTATTGTGCACTACACTTCTGTTAGACTATCAGTGCACTTCATATAAAGTCAGTCATATCCAATTGAAATCTGCTACTCCCAAATTAATTTTTTTATGGAAATATTTTCAGCAGAATACTCTTACATAAAGCTAATTAAACAAATCAATCTGAGATTAAAGTCCTTTTACTGCATTGTATTCAAAGTTGATTGTAATAAAG